TCACACTTCCCTCACACCACTTAGATAAAACCGAGGACCGTCCAAAATGTAAAGGCTTCGCACTAGTACTCATGTAACGCAGAGTTATGTCAGATTTTTCTTGAATCATGGCCTTGGACGCGGCCATTCCAACCTGCCGAATCAGACGACTCTAGTCTCGCTGAAGATAACTTGGAGACCAAAGAAGCCTCGAAGTTCGGGTTTCGCACTCTACCAAAAGCGTGCTGGGATAGATTGAACGAGGAGTATCTCGCTTAACTTAATCAACGAAATTGATCAACGAGTTAGCGGATGCCAACGAACCCCCACACATCTCACCTGACCCCGATGTACAGGACGTCGCTGATGGCGTTTTGGAAGACACCCCTCCCCCGCCTAGGAACGTAACAACTATGTACTCACCGTACCCCTTCGGCTGTCTGTCTTTGCCCGAAATCTGCATCTCGAAACAAATAAGACCACCCTTCGAGCGCTATTCGCTACTGCATTCGGGTCGTCCCCTGTAAACCCCGCTGGGATCGACTACGTCGATTTCAACAAAGGAATGGACTCTGTAAGTCTTAAAATATTTCATAAGTATCCACCCTTACAACATCGTCAGTGCTATCTTCGGCTTGCCTCGCCTGAGCATGGACGTATTTTAGTCGATCACTTCTCTGGCCAGCCTGTGGTACAGTCTCACGGCCTTGACGACATAGGCAAGACTCCTGGAACGTCCCAAAAGGCCATCTCAACAGAAATCATCGAAGGGAAAAAGGAGGAAGTTTTATTGGGAGGAGTTCCAGAGAAAGTCAGACGACAGGCTGTGGAGAAAGTAATGAAGGCTCTCAATGGCAAACAACCATCGGCTCCCGTGCACACTGCATACGAGCACTCCGAGGAAAGCAGGCCGCGGAAAAAGAGAAATCGCGGCTAATTTTGTAATGTTGGAATCATTCCCCGACTCTCAACGTTAGTGGAAGAGGGCTCTTGTCCAACGCGGGTCGGTTTCCCATCTCCCAAAAGCCCTGCCAGCTACGCCCGTGTTCGGGCCTTTTCGGTTGCAATCATTTGACACCTTATTTGTTATAGTTGTCTTTGTGTCTGTCATCTAGTCCTCGCTGAGTCCCTTTATCCGTTATGCATGCCTTGGTGGGCCACTCCTGCATGGTGTCTTGAGCTTTCCGTTATGAGGTGTTCTAGAGTTTCGCGTTGACCCCTCTGCCGACACCTCTGTCCGGTGCCTGGGTCTTGCCACGGTAATCGAAAGTAAACAATTTTTTGTTCCGCCTCAGCATCGACATAAAACAGCACACACAAACTATACAGCATCAACTCGATTTGCCACTTTCAATTCTTCCGCCTTTAGCCGAATTCAAGTCATCCTCGGTCCTATTGGAAGAGCCAACGACCGAAGGAGTGTCCATCGACGAGGCTTCAGCGAGGGTGTGGAGGTTACATCATTTCCTGACTGTCAGACTCACTGGCCTCCGGCCCCATTATAAATTTTTGTTTGGTGGTGAATCCCGACAGTTTTGGTTAGTCTGTTGAGAATCTAGGTTGGTACGCACCTCGAAGATGTATCTTAATGTATAGGACACGTCTAATTCCCTGTTTCCCAGGGGATCTGAATTGATCGTGCGCCGGAGCTATCGCCGTGATACAGTACACGCGTTCAACCTTTGTTGCTTGACCCACATGTTGACATCCAGGTCATCGAGCGAGGGGTACACCCCGAGCACCATCTCGCACTGGTATTGCTACCACGCATGGTTCGGTGCATCCAGCTCCATAAGATAATCCCTGAAACGAACGAATTGACCGCGCCTTAACAGAAACAAATTCATCACGTTTGCGATGCATTAATCGATCAACTTGAAGTTGTCACCAAGGTGAGCATCTTTGAGGTCATATTGATCAGGTCGCGTCATTTGCTCAATTGACGCACGTACAGCCAGACATCACTCCGATAATTCACACCTGCAAACTCACTTGACTTCTGACCCTGTTTCTCATTGGCTTTACTTGATTGACAGATAGCGGTCGGTCTGTGCATCGTGCAAGGATATGTGTGCAGTACAAGGAGGTTAGGCTCTCTGACTTTCAATGATCACCATCCTGACATGTGCACTTTTAGTATTGCTGCACTGCAATGCGATGTAAATCGACAGTGCACCAGATACGCATAAATGCCGCGTCACGCGACCGCATCTCCATCATGAAATCAAATGCATCAAAAGCTATGATCATAAGATTTGATCTACGTGCTCATCGTATCAAAACGCATTCGTCGTACGTATTTTACACAATCACTCTTTGCTACACATGTTCTACACATACACTTTTCGTTCTCTGTTCCGACAGGTTTATTTTATTCTGGTATCCCCAAAACGAACTCTCCTCAGTCTCTCAATCCGAAGACCGAGGTGAGTATTAGCATTCACATTTACCGATACATATCTTCATTCTCACTACCCACTACATACTTCTCCTTTCGTTTCTAGTCCAAGCCTCTCTTCATTTGAGACTAGCCTTCCTGTCCCTGCCTCCTATGGCAGCTTCTTCCAAACCGACAGATGAAAAAACCGATCTCTACAACCGCAATTTGACGAGTCGAAAATATGCCCTTTTCGGAATGACATGCTCAAGTATCTTCAGCTGCCCATGCATCGTTGCAGGCACCATCACTTTAGCCAAACGCGGAATCTCGGGAGTTACTGTGGCCAACTTCAGTCCTCGGGAGGGGGAGATATTGGCCCTGACGCTTAACTTAATCGTCATGTTATGCACCGAGTCCATAGGCTTCGTACACAGCATCTCATTGTGCTCTGCGCTAGCCTCAGAGTCTCGGCTTCGTTTCAACACCAATCTGGGCCTCCCTCATCATATGTTCTGGTCTTGAATCGGAGAGGGCCTCATCTGACTGTTTCTGCCTCGCCATTTTTTGGTCAGGGGGTGGTGCCATCGCAGGGTTACCTCTCCTCATTTTGGGCATTGCACTCCTCCTCCAGGTGATGATCGCATTGTCAGGGATGCGGGCCGTCAAAATATTGACGTGGAGCTCCTCACCTTTCGACTTGACCGCCGCACTGGTCCACCACATGCAATTGACCCCGTTACTATGCGGTCCATGCGTTGTGCCTGACCTAGACACGTATGGAGGTCCAGCGAAGCCATCAGGGATACAACCCTCTGCGTGGCATACTCAGCATCCGGAAATTTGTTATTTTTCTTTGGGTGACCGTTGCAGCATGCACTGGATGGGCCGCACTCGTCATGTATATCGGGGACAAGTTCGTCAAGATGAAAACATTGTCTAACAATCCGCTAACCCCACACACGTGGTCGTTCTTGCCCAACGATGCGCTATCCACTTTTATCTCGTATGATATGCCTGGTGTCAATGACACTAGGGTGTGGATTCTGCTCTTTGTCAATATAGTAGTTATCCAGGGGCCATTGACGCTTGGGCTACATTTCTCGGAGCTCATTGCGAATGTCATTCGAGACGAGAGACAGTGGAGATGCGCTACCGGAAGGAAGGGACTTAGAGCCGCGACGAACCCGTTGAAGACGATTTTCACTCATCCAATTTGTCTCGTACTTTTCATCGCGAAGCCTTTCCTGCGTGAGTTATTCCTGTCTAGTATTTTTATCGGTGTTATTGAAAGCCATCCTTGACGATCAGACTGGATGTTTGGGCTTTCATGACATACATGGTCTCTGACAGCCAAATGGGACAGTGGGAAGTACTCATGTTCCATGCCCAGGCTCGTACTCACTGCCTATGTAAAACTGCTACAACATTCTCACACCCTCGTGCAGATCTGGAACTTATGCATAGCGCTGTTTATATTTGCCTGTTTCTTCACTTTCGTCGCACTGCGCCGACCGCGTGGCTCCCAGCCGGCTGCATATGGTCACGTTCAGACGCTCGCCAACCTCGTGGACGAGTGGTCGCCTGTGATGTGGTGGGGACACAAGGAAGACGGAATCCCGTATTGTCATGCTGGTAGGGTACTTATGTGTTCATGATGCTGCTGTATTGACACTTTCACAAAGGGACGAGCGAGCACCCGCTGCCGGATGTGAAGATGGACTGCGTTTATGCTGGCTCCGGTGATGGGTTTCTAGTACCCCTCTCGTGAGAGGTACTATAAGAATGACGAAGCGCAAAAGGGGCGTGTAGACCGCTTGTAGGGTATATGGGTAGTAGAGTTGGAGGTTCATAAATGAATGCAATATGATAAGGAACGGGGCGAGTCTGAGACCATAGAAAATAATATGCTTGCTGAATAATGATTGCGAAATGGGATTCTGATACTCGCTATTTTATTGCCTGGAAGTAAGGACTGTACATGGGCTACTTATACTTGCGAAACGGTAAAGGTCCTCGGGTATGGCTAGGCCGAACGATTATGTGGAAATGGAGGCAGAAGGGAGTGGCGTCACGCCCGACATGGTAGAATAGTAATGATGAGAAAGAGGGTAAGAAAATTGAATGAGCAGGTGTAAGAATGGGTATCGTGTAGACAGAGTAACGAGAGTTATTTGACAGGTTCCAGACGGGTGGGCTGCGAATGGGGTGACAGTGACGAGAAAAGGGTGCTAAGGGTTGAGCGGGTCGGTAGCGATAAAGGATTAGCGGCGAAATGGCCACGGGGAAATATTGTGCTGATCGATGGCGCCAGTGAGCTGACTCAGGTCGTGGTTGCGGTACAGACGTTGTATCGGCGAATTCTAGCGTCAGACGATTGGAGTATTTGCTTTGCTTTTTTTAAGGGCATTTTTTGATTTCTCTTTTTATACAAAGGAGCTATGTATATCCGCGTTAGACTGGCGATGCATTGACGAGCACACGACCAGCCATGCCGTTGAATGATACATGTACAGTTTTCATGCTGCTTGCTGCATTAATTACAACATATCATCGCACTGTGGAAGTACAAATTACATGAGTTTGCTATCACATGCGAAGTATTAAAACGATTGCACGCCTACAGGATACTAGAGACAGACAAACATCACAAACTCGACATTACAAGCAACTCGCGATCTCTTTCATGGTGAGTCTCTTATGCATGTTCATGCACCAACACTTCTCCAACAGGGCCCAAAGCGTGTCGTCCAAGCCTCGTTCTACAACGACTGGGTCCGTGGGTCGAGACGGAGTTTCGCCCTGACAGACCTTAAGGATGACTTGAGGTGCGAGGTGAACCGACGCCCAAGGTTCTTTGTGAGTCATAAGCTGTGAAGGCTGTTCAAAATCTGGCTAATCAACCAAACGTGTTGGAAGTACCTCGAGCACGGTCATACTAAAGGCATAGACATCGGACGCCATTGTACGTTTGCCTCCGCTCTTGCACAGCTCAGCGGGACACCATCTTAGAGACTCCTGGTTAAGAGTGCTGCCACTGCTGACGTCGAAGTAGCTCATAATCTCCTCCTCGAGCTATATTGTTCGGGTAAGTCAGAGCGTAGTGATCGGTGTGAGAAGAGACATCACCCTTGTAAAACCGAAGTTGGAAAGCAGTGGCCTGCCATCCGGGCTAATGGCGATATCGAACTATGATGAAGTAAGGATCCTAGTTATTGGTGATTGTCGTCATGACTCACCCCTTTGATGTCACCGTGAACAACAGACATACTGTGCAATAATTTGATGCCCTCGGCAATGCCTTTCAACTACGAAATCAGGTCAAAACGCTTTCCTCGATCAAAAGTAAGGTACGTACGATATATCGGTGGTCGACTTCGGGGTATTCATTGAGGTAGTCTGTTAAGGTCCCATTGGACATCCAGGGGCTTACGGTGTAACTGCTGTATAGTCAGGAACGAACATGAGTTCCCGAGGAAGGAAAGACCCACGGATATTCTCCGTCGCTCTGACAAAAACCGTATATTGTGAGGATGTGTTCTCCTTTATCTGCTTCGAACACTCTTCTCCAAATCTCCGCCTCTACCTTGAACCTCTGCAAATTAATCGATTGAGCGTTCACGAAAACGACGACAATATTGGGATAGTGTACCTTGAGTGTCTTGGGTGTAGCATAAACTGCGCGCAGGACTCTGATGGCAACCTTCTCCTCATTAAGGTAGCATCCTTCCCAGACATCGGTCCGACTCGTTCCATTCACAGCATAATTACTGGTACGCCTCACTTCCCCGCGTTTCAGGTTCATGTTCGGAAGTAAACTTCTGGAACTCTGGAGAAGATTGTACAAGTTACTTTCCAGACCGCGCTCAGCTGTTGCAGAGACGTGGCTCGGAAGATTCTGTCAATGAAGATTGGATGAAGGATTCAAGAGACTGGAGAATGTGGTACCAACCTCTTGCATCACTGTCAAAATCTGGTTTACGGCGGCGGTTTGTTGCAGTTGGTTATTCATGAGAATCTCTTGCTTGTTTCTGAGGTCCCCGAGATATTCGATCATATATTCGTTGTCGATCCTTTGGTTGTCTTCGAAGGCAGACTGCCATCTGTGGATCTCGAGGTGCGAGGTTATCTAATCAAATAAGTAGATGAGCTTATAGATAATAGTTGAGGAACAAACACTTGACTTACCTGTAGCTTGTTTAAGCAATCAGATATCTCAAGATGACATTGTTGAATGATTCCGGCGAGTTCATCCTGTTTGACGAAAAGCTTGATTCGAGACATCAAGCACCATGGAGTCATTCTGTCGAGGATGCCTTGGATGGTGCTGGCTAGGTTATCAGCTGCCTTCCGGACAACATCTGCGCGCTACCAACCTTTGTGCACCTGAGCAAAGCCTGGTTTTATCATCCGGCAACATAGTTTCGCCTTCGTTCTGGATGATAGTCAGGAAATTGAGGCAGCGTTCCTCGAGTTGTCGCATCCCATTTCTGTCATAATAGTCATCGCGATCAGTGGAATGAACAGTATGACGAAATGATAGGTACTTGTTGGACTCTGCTTTAGCAAGCAGGTTGATGAGGGTGATTAGAGCACCGAATGCTGGACCGAGCCATGTACATGGAGTAGACTGTGTTGCCTGAGATAACGCTGAAGCGGGATTAATATGAAACCGGGAGGACGCGACACTCTCCATGATTGTTGGTCAATAAAACGCTTGAAGATCGGTCGTATAAGAGGGCGCGTCGAAAACTGGGCAGTGATTGTTGCACTTCCGACACATGCTGCTCGAGCTCTTTTATAGAGAAATTATCGGGACTTGTTGACCCACCGACGACCACAGCCTGCCTAGCATTTGACTCGAGGCAGTGTCAATCAGTTGTTCCAGAGGAAGATATCTATAGAAGTTGTCTGTAGAAGGAACAAGGCCCTTTAGCCTATTGCGTCACCTGTGGGAGGCCATTGGCAGGAACACCGTGACGCGTTGGAGCTGAAGCTTTGAAGGACAACCTTGCAAGCTACAGTACATATATCAAACTCGAGCATCTCGCGAGGACTAATAGCTCTCATGCATCGATACCACGAGATAAAAAGCCAAAAGCGAAGATAACGACCCGAGCACAGCACACAGCAAGCGTAAACAGATGTGGTAACATTACTAGTGCGTAATACGTATGGTACGAGGTCAAAACGGCCGTGGCCCTACAAACCCACTACTGCCGTAGGAATCTGCACAGTGATCAGTAAAGCATAGTAATGGTCTGCGTGGAAGGAACTACCACGTTCCTTCTTACGAGTCGGTTAAGGGGAGGCCACTATCTATCCCCTTCCGCACGAAGTCTATCCCGTACGCGCATCAAGGCCTTTCCAAGCTCGTTGGCACCGTCACCTGAGGGGCCATGACCCCAGTACGTATCATTGGCATCGGCATACACCAAATCAGCAAGGCCCGTGCGCAAAAGCAAAGTCCGAAGGCTAGGATGTTGCTTGAATTTGATATGCAGCACCTCTTCCATCTGAAAATGCGAAAAGTTGATCCATCAGAATATCTGTCAATGAAAATAACCTCACAATCTTCAAGAATACCTGACCCCAATCTGGTCGTACGTGGTCCTGAAAACTCGCTGACAACGGGTACATGTCACCGACATCGGTGCACGTTCGGATACGCTCCTGAAGGTTAGGGTGTTCCGTAAACTTCATCGCCTCGAGGAGGTGCATCGCAGTTGGGTACATTTTGTTTTTGTACAGCACTCGGTGTTGTGAGTGATTTACAAATCCGGATAGTTCACCTGTATGGTCAAACTTGACGGGCGGTCCGCGATCGGGAGCTGGCATGCCTTGCAGTGGGGCTCCACTTCCAGTGTATGCGTTTATCCCATGGGGCACAGCTGCAGTTGGTGGTATAACGAATGATGTCACTGTATTGGAACGATGATGACGACCGCCAGATTCGCTATCGCTCCCTGACGTGCTGAAAGCGCGAAAGAGTCCTTTTCGCGATTTACCCTTGCGCTTACTACTAGAGCCAAATAGGTTTCCTAGACGCGATATCGGACCTGCTGGTTGAGCCAGCATGTTTTCCATTTCTTCCATGTGTTCAACGTTCAAGGAGAGGGTTATGTCCTTTGGGAGTTCCTGTAAAACTTGACGATATGGGGTAGTGTTCCATATGTCTCTAGGAGGAGAGGGGAGGGGATTTCTCCGCATTGCCATTCGTATGGGAGGGACAGTTGGTGGCCTAAATGGTACATCACTCAAATAAGGCTCGGGCATAGAAATAGGGTGATCAGCTGGTTGGTAGAAGTCGGTGAATCTTGGGCGAGATGACGAGTTAGCCGCACGTTGTGCATCAGGCATGACGGGGGGAGGCTCAGGCATGGAAATAGGGTGATCAGCTGGTTGATAGAAGTCGGTGAATCTTGGGCGAGATGACGAGTTAGCTGCACGCTGCGTATCAGGTATGACGGGGGCAGGCTCGGGCATGGAAATAGGGTGATCAGCTGGTTGGTAGAAGTCGGTGAATCTTGGGCGGGATGATGAGTTAGTCGCACGCTGTGCGTCAGGCATGACAGGGGGAGGCTCGGGCATAGAAATAGGATGATCAGCTGGTTGATAGAAGTCGGTGAATCTTGGGCGAGACGACGAGTTAGCCGCACGCTGTGCATCAGGCATGACGGGGGGAGGCTCGGGCATGGAAATAGGATGATCAGCTGGTTGGTAGAAGTCGGTGAATCTTGGACGGGATGACGAGTTAGCCGCACGCTGTGC